GGCATGTTACCACAGTCACTTGACTTTCGCTGTCGTAACAAACGGTTCAGTTTTACTCTTAGGTGAAGCTGTAGTAAAAACCGTAGACCAATAGCTCACGTGACTTTTCGCGTAGGCGTGTGCAAAATTTTTCGTTAAATTTGAGCTGTTTTTGTTGAATAACTTTGCACGTGTGGCTTATATTTACACCAAATGAGATTCCTAATTGGAGGTTATAAAGATCTATCTATGTATCAAATTTGAAAAAAAAAAACTCCATGAAAATTAACTATGTTTTTCTACCAAAGAAAGTTTCCGTACTTTTGGTGCAAAGAAAAAATAAAAAAAGGAAGAAACTCAATCAAAATTGGAGATATTAGATCTCAGGCATTTTTTAATGGATTGCCTTGGTATGTGAAATAAGAGTCCAGTAGAGCACATCCACTGAAAATCTGTGTTTGTTTGGATTACCACAAATACAGAAGGTGGAAAAATCGCTAAACTATCAGTCCTGTTAATATCACACAGTGTGATTTGAATTTCACACAAGGCTACACGATGGCTATCTGCACTAGCCGCCCCCAATTTAGCATTGAAAGAAGGCAGCTAGTCATTACCACCCACCATCAACACTTGGGCTGCTCTTTTAGCAACGAATAGTGAGATTGACCGTCACATTATAACGCCCTCGCGGCTGAAAGTACAAACATGTTTGGTGGGACCGGGATTCGAACCTGCGATCCTCAAGTTGCTAATCAAGCGCCCTAGCCACCTGGCCATGCCGGGCTAACACGGAGTGTGTCCTGCAGGTTGTTTTATTTTTATTTCTTAGGCCGCATGACACACTACAGTGTGTCTTAATATATTTGTCATCTTCCTCTCCGCAAATAAAGTTTTGGGTCGGATCGTATGAATATTTAAATATTTCTTCGTACTTGCGTATATTTTGGAAGCACCAGTTCCAAAAACTGGATTTTTTTTTCCTCTAACTCGTTTATATAAAAACAAATTTGTTAGCAGTACAAAACAAAAAAAGAAGAAGAAGAAGGAAGACATACTTCGAATAAGCTTTTATTAAGTTTATTAACAGGTTGTTTTTGTTCCTACAGTAAGTAAAGCACAGACTTTACGCCATTTTACTTTTCACTATTTAAAAGTTATAGTTACATGAAGTCATTAACCCAAAGGAAGGCAGATACTGTCCTTCAATGTTGTGGGCTAATAGGGTTAAAAATACATGTTTTTATTATTAAATAATATTCAAGATAACGAATTTTTGATGTATTCATGTTCACGTGTTAAATGGTCTATTAGCTACCATGAGTAACCAAGCGTCGTGTAGAATTCAAATAAGCTTATATTACATATTCACACGCATGCAATTAAAAAAAAAAAGCTTGAAGATACCGGTGACTTCTACAAATCTAATATCCCTCTGGAGAGAAATTTATTAACTACCTACGGTAGAAAATCGTGTTTTGTATGCAAACGTTTTTACGTTGTGCATAATAATATTAACAACAAGAGCTGGTTTTACTTCGCTGCTCAACTGCTACTGGTACTTCCCCATTCAGTGTAAGCATAATATGTAGAATTAGGTCTACCTTTGACACTGGGGACAAACTAAGTGTACAGCCATGGGCAAACTATGTTCTCCATTTGGTACTACGGAAAACACCTCCAGTACTGTAACGGTTAACCTAGTTTAACAAGTATGGGAAATTCCATTACTACAGTCTTTTGATGCTTAAAAATTAGACAAATTATACTCTGATCGGATATCTATTCATACAGAAGGGCTTTCCCATTTTAAGTACAGATATTTCGGATTACTCCAGAATTATTTAAAACATCCAAGTAAGCTTAACAGTGCAGTATGTTTACTATTCTGTATTTGCATACTCGTTGAGAAAATCCTACGCTGCTCAGTATCAAGAATTAAGGTTAATAAAACTTGTAATAAACGTATAAAAATTAAGCGTTCGTAAAACATTTTTTTTAAATATAGGTCCTGTTATTATTATTATTTCGTTTTCAAATATAATAATCAAAAAACGACAATATTAAATTTCAATAATATTTGTGTGATATTTTTTTTTGCTCGAAGAACTTAAATCATCGTTAATTCTCATTATAAATCTAAAGGAGTGAATAAGTAATTTTTGCACTGTATTCTGGTTACCGTCAGATATTAAATTGAGGGAAACTTTGTTGAGCAAACAACCTTGTGTCAAACATTTCCATTGACATTGATTAAATAATTGACTACTTACTTGTCCATCTGACGTATTTTTCATAGGTACTTTCAGTGCCGTGTGCACAAGTTACTCGCTTAGCAACTTTGTGTTGAGGTAGGAACGTCACGTTTTTGGCAGGTTGCCATGGGCTCACTTGCTGCGCAGAAGATCAATAAATTGTGACGTCACTGGCGTATAACCAGCAGCGGCGTTCGTGATGATGGAACTGCGCCAGAATTTGGACGAACTGCGACAGTTGTATCTTATAAGTTTACCATAGGTAGTGTCAAAATATGATACTTGAAATGTTTTTAGTCCCTTTGATCTATAGCATCAAAAAACTTTACAGACATAGAATGCATTAACTGTTTAAATTTCACTAAGAAAGCTTACAACGGATGATATACCGAATATTGAATCATCGTATTAAAATATAAGTAACTGAAATAGATCCATGAAAGACCAAAGATTATGCTTGGCAAAATACCGCAGTAGGTTGTCATTTCTTGGTCATCAATGTCCTGTTTGGATTTGGTACACAGAGAGAGAGAGAGATAATTGAAATCATTGTTAAGCAACATATATTTCTCTACTTGATATAATTTCTACCATCACCTGTTTTTGCTAATAAATTCTACTTTAAAGCTATTGAACCATATGTTCCTATCTGCTGGTGGATCAAACAATGTAGAGTTCATTACTGTCTGGTTAACTCCAACGTTTCTTTCTCTTCTTTTTTTTTATTTTTATTTGTAGCCGACGTGATGACATCATCGCGCAGTACTGATACGTGCACGCTTAATAGACCGGAGCAGTCCTTTATACGCATGCGCGAAGTCTCTTCAAAGCGTTGTTCTTGAAATCCGTCTTGCTTTCCTACGTAAAGCTCGGGTAAGGGTTTATAGCTCAGTATCTCTCAGATTAGTAGGTTAGGAACTTACGGTTATAACAAAACTGGCAAGCATCAGGATAAGTTAACTGAATACTTCCATGGTGAAAATGTCTGCTTTGTCTCGTGGACACAGGCAGCAGTGCTACCTGTGTGACTTGCCTAGAATGCCATGGGCTATGTTGAACGACTTTTCGGAAGCTGTGTGCCGAGGCTGCGTGAACTATGAAGGGGCCGATCGTATCGAGCTCATCATCGAAACAGCTCGCCAAATGAAACGGGCCCACGGGTTTCAGGATAGTAGACAACCCTATAAATCCCAGCCGTCCTCACTAGCCAGTAGAAATAATCACGATGCCCTAAACGGGGCGGTGGTATCAGCGGAAGCAACGGTTATGCCATCTCACGCTTCCACTATGACTGCAGTTGCAGTCTCACAAACAACAGTTGCTGTTGACAGGTTCGGTTCGCACGATGGCCGCCCGCGTGCACTGTTGGAATACAGTAACCAGCGCTTGCCAGGACACAGAGTATATGATGTTCCCCATGATGCCACAACAGTGGCTTTCAGTCGAGGAAGTCCAAGTTTATCTATTCGAGCACTTCCACCATCGGCCATGGCAATGGCAACACATGTGACACTGTCTGCTCCGGCCGGTCGCCAAAATTCTTTGTTAGACAAACGGTCAAGTGAAAGAGATGAGGATGAAAGCTCTCTCAGTACAAGCGGTTCAGAGAATAACCATAAACGGGCGTTGTTGGACAACCATGCTGCCGGCCGACCTCCCTTAACACGAGGAGAAAGCCTTCCAGCTGCTGTGATGGGGATCCCGTTTGATGCCCGGTACAAGAAAGATCACCACATGGTTGGAAGGATGTGTTCTTTTGATGCCGCTGTGGCTTCAAGCTTGAAATCTGTCACTGCAACTGCAGGTATTTGTCAGTTGTTATAGAATTTCAGTTATAAAGCAATTTATTCTTCCTTGTCTTTTTTATACTTTTTTGTTTCATTTTAAATGACATTTTTCGAAAAGTTAATATGATTAGTTTGATGTTTTGGTTAATTTGGTAATATCTAATTTTGTATCAATTAATAAATTAGTAATATGATTCTTTATAATGCCAAATAACCGCCAAAGTTGAGTGGTCAGTGAGCGTCGCTAGTATGCTCTATGACCTTATTTGTTTTGTTATTTTAGTTGCATTTGACACTTATTGAACCCATAATATAATAAAAATCAAGTACTGCTGTTAGAGAATGTATATATGCTATAGACTTCTTTACTTTTTTCACGAAAGATAAAATTCAAAAGACAATCTGTGACGCAGAGGCCTAATCGTCATCAGGCTAATGCATTCTTTGGTTCGCCTTAAAATCGAATAATGAATTAGGCGCAATGTTCTTACAGTAACATTATTCACACACCTAAGTTAATTAGGATTACTGTATTGTGAATTTAAAAAGACCCAAAAAACCCATAAATATTATATACATTTCGCCATTATAAAAGGCCTAACTGTATTTGGTTTGCCGACCAAAGCTGTGCTGGTAACTCCTGAATAGAGGAAACTAATACACAGCAGAAGGTACGGGCAATCAAGGAATGTATTAGGCCTCTACGTCACGAATTTTCTTTTGTTTGTTTTGAATTTCGCGCAAAGGTACACACGGGCTATCTGCGCTAGCCGTCCCTAATTTAGCAGTGTAAGACTAGAGGGAAGGCCTATTAATATAGGTTACTGTATGGTGAATTAAAATAGACTCAAAAATTCCATAAGTTTTATACTGTTAGAGAAATTAACGTTGGAATCTAATTATGATCACAGACTTTCAGGTATTGAGTTAAGCTCTCAATCTTCCAGAATACATAAATAGAGCCCAAAACAGTACTGACCTATTTAAACTTTCTATGTAATAGTGTGCAATTGTGAGGCCAAAATAAATTAAACCTCCATTTTAGAACAGAAACAACAAAACTACGAATATTACACCATAATCTAGTGCTTTTCATAAGTAACATAACATCGTAGGCACAGATTTAGATACTTAGTAAAAGTTTACATGAACGATAAGATCTCACTTTTCTCGCTAATAAAGTAAGATTTTGACTGTTAGGCATTACGTTCATCGTTACGTACAAATTATGATGTGATGTTATCATTTTACACACATTACTATTATTATCAGGGCACCGTTAAATACGTAATTCACAACAGTACTTTCTGAAACTGAATTATATTTTTAAGTTATAAAGTTCAAAGCAAGTATTATGTCATCATGTTGTAAGAACACCAAAAATCTGTAACAATGGGTGAATTTTTTGGTTAAAAAAACATGTAGGAAACATTTCATTATTAAAATTGTGTAATGGAAGTTTTCGAATGTATTTGTGTTCTCCCTCTATCTGAGTCACAAACTAGTTGTTGTTAATTGTGTACGTGCACGTTCAATACGCTTACGTTTTCGTGAGGTTTAGTGACTCAGATGTTGTGTACTTATAGGATGTAATATAGTACATGAATTATGTAATAAATTTTCCGCTTTATTCATATGTTATATTTTTCAATTTTACTTCGTACTAGAATGTGATTAGGATAACAACATCATGATTGATCAGTTTTATTTGCTCTGGACGTGCAGTTTTGTTACCGCTTTTGTGGCATGCACTATCAGTTTGAAGCCTTGTTTACCATTACTTAAGTTTGTATTTCCGGTGTACAGCTATTATCGTTGAAATGTGACATAATGTTGTCAGTCTGTGTTATTGGTTTACATAGAAAGAAGGCCTGACGTCAGGATCTGGAATACCGAAGCATAACTCTTGGAACAAATGTTACACCCATATTTGTTTTTGTTCAAAATTTATGTAATTGGTTTTCATATCTAGTAATATATCCACGTTTAACCCATCTGGTATCCTCTTAATTTACTGTAAAATCATTAAATTATTCTGATAGCTCCTAAACTGGAGGTGATGTTTATGGTACTATTATTTCATTGAATCACATATTTTCTTTTTTCCAACTTTCAGGGTAAATATAATTCTTCTGGCTTTTAACAGTTTTTCTCAATAAAAGTATTCAAACCAATTAACGATTTTTAATGTAATTTTTTTTCTAGCTTTCACAAATGTTTCCAACGCTTCTAGTCACTCGGTTCCATCTGCTCATTTAATGAACAGTCGTTCATCCAAATCTCCAGAGGTTACTGCACCAGGTATATCACAAAATGGCTCATCGCCAATGGCAGCTCTTATATCTGCTGCTGATAGTATCCCTCCTGGTTCACCACGAATTGGTATTACTGGTACTGAGATGGTGTCACCCACTGGTGGAGCTAATAGGCCATCATCTACAAATCGTCACTCTCCTAATGGAGTGCCTTCTGGTTCCGGGAAGAAAACACCCAGTGGAGGTCGTCATAACTCTGTAAGTTCAAACACGGACCCAGAAGCCAATAACACTAACATGACTTCAGCCACATCCACCACAACTTCATCTGATACACTTCACACAGCAACAGGTCTGAAGTGCACGTTGTGCAATGGGAGGCTGGAGGACACCCATTTTGTACAGTGCCCATCAATTCAACTTCACAAGTTCTGCTTCCCATGTTCACGTGAGAGCATAAAAAGTCAGGGAGCAGTCAGCGGAAACGAAGTTTATTGCCCAAGTGGAGAAAAGTGTCCTCTGGTGGGATCTAATGTTCCTTGGGCCTTCATGCAGGGAGAAATTGCTACTATTCTAGGTGATGACCTGGCTTCCGGAAAAGTAAAGAAGGAAAAAGAAACATAGTGAAGAAAGTATTGTTTTTCGGATATAAATTAGAACAAAAGGAAGAGTTTTCAAAGTCGTTCCTTTAAAAATCCTGTGCACAGCAGCTTCTAGAAGAAACTAGATGGTAAATAAAATTCCAAAGTAAATTACCTTTTCATACATACGACTCCTTTGCTCTTCAACTTGAGTTTGTCAGCAAACAAACACTCAGGCTTTAGGAAACTAGAGCAGGCATAGTTTCTTTCATGACTTCCACAAGTAGGAGCTTGAGAAGCTAAGACCTACTTGAGGAGCAGTATAAAGCGATATCAAATTTTCCCCATATAAGGGAACAAATTTGGAGGAGCTCATTCAGAAGCCCTCAAGAAAACCATTTTCCATGTTTATATCTCTATTTCATTTAAACTTAAGAGGACCATTTGTTTCGCAACCTTGCTTATCATTAATATATTCTTTTCTTGTAAAACTTTTCTTAATTTTTTTTTTTTGCTTAGTGATTGAGGATGGTATAAAGCCTGAAAATTGCTCATACATTTTAAACCAGCTGGTGCTGCACTGTATATATCAATGTTATGAAGTTTGATGTTTGCTGTAACTCCCTCTGGTGTCGTTAATTACTCATAGTAATGTTAACTTGCTGAAAACTTGTTGCTGTAACAGTCCATTGTTGCCAAAAGCTGTTATTGTTACTCTTTATAGGTATTTGTCCAATGGTGCCACAAACTTGTGTACTAGGAATAATTTTTAAGCACGATTTTTCATTAAAGTGTTTTAACTAGTCACGTCAAGTTTAATTTAGATTTCTTTTGTCTCTCTCTCTTTTGTTACAAAAAATCAGGGTTTCTTGTACGAACAAGTTGTATTAATGTGAAATCTAAATAAAGTTTAAAATACATATTCCACATTCTTATTATTTGACGATGTTTCGATATTTTCTTTTATGGAAAACAAGTTAAAGCGCTACAGGAAAAGAGTAGAAAATGTTATTACAGACATCGAGTGTCTGAGATACAAAGGTATTACTAGAATTCCCCACCCACCGTAATGTTGAATACTCACGGAGAATTTAATAACGATTACCTTAAGTAATACTTTAAAAGGCATAGGAAAAGTATTGTCAATCAATAGTCAAACTACATGGAAAATTGTATATTCAACTCCACGCAAGCATTTGTGGGGGGGGCTTCGAATTGTAACATAACTAAATAATCAACTGTGGAATATCACAAGCTTTACTTCTCTTTTCACCATAAGAAGATAATTTAGCAAGACTCTTGAATTATGACAAATACCTTGTAGAACCCAGCATTTATTTAAAACGATAAATTATGATTTATCCATGGAAGTTTGAAGTTTTGTATACCAACCTATTATGTTAAAAGTTTCCTGAGATTTCGTTGAATTATCGTCTAGATTGTGTGTGTGTCAGTTTTTTTTTTTTGTTTTATTATTGTTGTTGTTGTTTTTATTTATAGAATAACCTCGACCTGCAAAACATTTGTGGTAGTTTTCATACCATTCGCTTGAATTTTTCTTATTCTATCATTTACACCATGCCATTTAAGCTACGCTTTCTTGCAGGTATTATGCATTAGATCGACGAATCCTGGTCTATTTTGAAGAAAAATAAAAAATACGCGGCCTGACAAACAAACTCACGTAGAAGTAACTTTATTTGATAAAACTACACGTGCATAACTTTATTTAATAAAACTACACGTAAAGTAAACAATAGAGTATAGTAATGGTATTTATAATAGTGTACAGAGTATGAAAGTTATGAGCGTTCAGTGTACCACACGGTTTTACGAGTTGAAACAAAGAAATTCACATAAACGAAGACTAAAACTCGCAATAAAGAGAAAAAAAAAGTAGCTAAAAGGTGTTTATAACAGTCTATGAAACTAACTGAAGCGAAATTATTGCAAAGTAAATATATTGTTTGTTTATAGTTAAGCACAAAGCTACACCACGGGTATCAAAACCCGGTTTCTAGCGTTGTAAGTCTGCAGAAACTAAATGTAAAGTTGTAATGAACGCAAACTTAGCTGAATACGCAGAAACGTCTAAATTCGTGTTCACAAAGTGATAAGCATATGGTTTTAATCGAACTGCGCATGCGTATTTCAGACCGAAGTAAGTCGAGGTAGTTAATAAAAATTGTATTTAGTGTAATGTTAATTTTTTTTAGAAAATAACACTCGAGTTAGGTGTTGTTTGTGCGAAATACCTTACAAACAAAACAACTAAAGTTGAAGCCAGTAGTCGCGTTTTGGCAACGATATTGTGCACCATATTCGTTGCATTGAAAAGTTTGACTAAGCAAGAAACGTGTAAGGTGATTCTGAATTGAAATGCCAATGTGCAATCCAGACTCGTTGGAGAAAGGCCTTTCTAACGATATGATATTTGTAGCGTTTGATCGCAAAATTTGCAAGAACAATTCCGGACAGACAAACGCAAGAGTATTATTTATATAGATACCTGCGCCCCAGTGGCACAGCGGCATGTCTGCGGATTTATAATGCTAGAAACTGGGTTTCGATACCCGTGGTGGGCAGAGCACAAATAGTTTTGAGCTTAACTACAAACAAATATACATACCTATAGTCACCTAGTGGTCAGTTTTCAAAGTTACTATTTTTATAATCCAGCTTCAAGTAATGTTTACAGTTAATAACATAATATTAAGTGTCCATATTACAGTTGTTATTTCTAACAGTACACTCTTATATAAAGTTCTGAAACATAGTAATAACACCAATTAGACATCCCGCTCTTCAGCTTTTCGTTCAGATATTGATTTAACAAACCAAACTGTCTGATTTTTTTATTTTTAAGACATATTTTTATTAGGTTAATTTGTTTATAAGTACAGAATTTTCCAGAACTCCTGAGTTAATCTAAATGTGCTATAAGGGTAGGGTAGGGTATATATTTTTTTCTATTTTATTTGAAAATATCGAATTATTTTTTTAATTACATATAAATTTTAAGGGTGATGCATACCATCTTATGGTGGCAGGGAGCTTTTAGAAGTGCTATGTGGCGCGGATTGACCTGTCGTGGAGCCCTTGACTTCGGAGCTTGCGAGCCGGGTTTGAATCCGTGTAATACCATAAAAATGTTTCCCCACACTCTTAAGTTATAGGTGCATTATAAGAGTGACAGTCGATTCCTTAGCGTGGGTAGTAGGGTACTACTGAATGGCCGTCTTCCTCTGATTAGTAGTTCAAAATTACGGATGGTGGTAGATAGCCTTAGTAGCTTTGCCATAGATAAAAATGAAAATTCGAAACTGCTCAATTGAGAACTTGCAAACCGAGTGGGTACTGAGGGTTACGGTATTCTAAACCGTGTAGCTTAATTTGTTAATGCAACTGTCTGAAAAGTGTAGTTGAATATTATCCTGTTTAGCATCAGTTGTGTTCTCAAAAAAATGTGGTGTACCACCCTTAAATTTTACGTAGTAAACATCTCCGTATAACTTTCTATTAGGAAAGACACCTATCATCTTGCAAATGAATTAATATTAATGTTAAATCGATATCACAATATATATTAAGTCATAGGAAGTATAACTATTGACATCAAGTTATACAGGTATTACTCAGGCATGGTAACCTTGTGTAACTTTTGACTATCTTGAAAAACTGCAAATTTAAGATCATCGTAAATTTATTTCTAATCTGGTTATACCTTGTTTACGTATATTATTTAGATAACCCGAATTCATTTTTTACAGTTTAAGTAGATCGATAAAATCGCTATACCTGTGTATATATGTACTCGACTATATATGTAATTAGGAGCAAATGAGTGAGCCAAATAAAAAGAAGTTATACATCTTCAAGCATGAAATACAGGATTTACAGATTTTCTCTTAGGGTCTTAGTACGTTTTATCAATAATGGAGCAATAAATCGGTCAAAGTCTGGAGTTCTCTGGGTGATTTTTTGAACACTTTTACTCAAAACACGTGTGTCTCAGTGTCCTGAAACTATTACAAAACTCCTAACAACGGATGAACATATGCTGCTTTTTTATATTTTATCTTTTTGTGTTTACTTGAACAACAGTTTAGTTATTCGATAGTTTTTGGGAAACAGATTAACAATGATATTTAAAATTCAAGTATTGTATACATTCTACGTGTCCATGCCAAGTTTAAATGTATGGAAATACCAAGCTTTTTCGTTTTGGTATTATCCTCTCATACAAAGGGAAAATTTTAAAATAACTATCAAAACGAAAAAGAAAAAAACTCATTTAGCTCACTAGTTTAAAGTAGCTTACTTCGTTTGGTTCGGTACTTGTCAATCTAACTAAAAGCCATAGCAACAGCTCTGTGGGCTCGTGCCAAGGCCACTATTACGAGGACTCTGCCACTGTATTTACTTGATGTTTATGACTGATAGTGACGTCATCTACGTAGATGAAGTTCCATGCATTTGTTCTACTCTAGCACTAGATATCGACGGGTTTGCCACCCCCCACCCCCCCACTTGTAATCACGTGACACTGATTTATTATTTAGGTGTGTTACACAAGCTAGTGAAGAAGAGATTATAATCATTAATATAGTTTATCATTTATTTCTACAGGTTACATTACAACGAAATACTGCTCTTGTTTTCTTAGGGTAATCTTCGGAATGTCCACCGCAGGATTTTAGCATTGCAAATCATAAACTAACCCCAAGAGGGACCTGAAGTACTGAGAATAACGCTAATTGAAAACAAGAGAAGAAATAAAGTGTAAATTTGCCAAACACATAAAAATACGCTCACTAGCAAAGTATAACAAATCAATTACATATAAAGCTCGTGTTTGGTTTGTTTTGAATTTCTGCGCTAAGCTGTTCCTAATTTAGCAGTGATAGACTAGAGGGAAGGAAGTCAGTCAACACCACCCACTGACAACTCTTAGGTTACTCTTTTACCAACGAATGGGATTTACCGTCACGGTTGAAAGGACAAACGTGGGGATTCGAACCGCGACCCTCAAACTGCGAGTCAGGCGCCCTATCTAACCACCAGGCTAAAATCATAAATAATATTCAACGTTAAACTGGTACACAGTTAAAAACATTTTATTTAGTGTACCAGTTTAACGTTGAATATTATTTATGATTTTAACTTTATACACAAGTGCCAAAATACTATAATCACCAGGCAACAGTAGTTCGACAACTTTCATAGATCATAATTCATTTTTTATTTTCATTTCCAGTGTCCAATAAATTAAATGTTTGGGGGTTCTCTAAAAATTATACATTTCTGAAAT